AAAAATTTTTAGATTTTAAATATGATATATATAATATAAAATAAATATAAATATGTATATTATAATATAAATATTCATTTTAAAATTTAAAATTACATATAATATATAATATAATATAATTCTATATATAATATAATAAAATTCTATAAAATATATATATTTAATATTTTAAAATTTTAATGAAGTTTTATATTCATCAAAAGGATTGGATGCTTTCATAAAAATGCAATTTGACTATCCTGATATAAATTTTGTTCACTAACTAACATTATTATACAAAATATCTTTTGAAAGAATTTTTTTTTATCTTTCAATTAAATTTACTTATATTAGTTATTTTAAATCACGATATGACTTTAAAAAAAAGAAAAGAAAATAAAAATACCTGAAAATAAGACAACTAATATAGCGATGAAAGATACTTTTCGAAAGTGTTGACGAAACGACATTGTTGAGCGAACTGAGAGTCGAGTTGATCGTTGGGCCAGTGGGTCCCCTCATCAGTACCTCGGCAAGGATAACAGTTCATGGGTGTACCGTTTACACTAACGTTATTCTCGCCGTTTTAACTTTGCATCTCAGACATCACTGCAATAATCGAAAGTGAGAAAGTGGAATGGTTGACCGATGAAAGTAATCGAAAGAAGATCACGATGCATCTTGATATATTTCTAGATTTATATATTCTATGAATTTCTAACCTGTGACTCATGGCATTAAAAAGTTGATATATTATATCATAATAATTTATAATATTTATTTAATTAGTAATAATACCATAATAATATGTAATAATATATTAATATACATATATTTACTATATATATTATTATATAATAATGGTAAAATTGATTATTTCTTTTTATTTTTTTTTTTTATTATATAAATCTCTACATTTTTCTAGAATATTTTTGGAATTTCATTTTTTAAAATAGTTGAAGTACTTTAATAATATAATGATATTTACAAAATTTTATATATTTTATGTATTTTTCGTCTAAATTGCATAAATTATAAAAAATATAATATGTTAATGGAAAATTTAAATGTACAAAAATTTGCAGAATGATATAAAAAATTATCTAAGATATATATTGTGATATATATCCATATATATGATATAATTCATATCAATTTCTATTTCAAATCAAATTTCTATTTTATTTTTTAATATTGTACGTTATTGTTTATACAAATTTACATAAATATATATATGATGATGTAATGATATATATTTGTTTAAAATATAAACTTAATGTGTTACTAAATGACTTTATGTGTACTTTATGTGTTTATAAGTGATCTGCAAAATTTATTGGTAAGACAATCTATTATCTTATATCTTATATATGGTATTTTTTGCTTAATTTCTTTTGTTTTTTTAATCTCATGAATAGATTCATTTTTCTGTGTATCATATAAATTCAATTGATTTGATCGTGTAAAGAATATTGTGAGGGAACGAGAATAATAAAATTCTGAATGATGTATTTATTCTTGAATCTTTTACGATGGACCATTACTATTAAATAAAACGATTTCGATTTCGATTTCAATCTTGAATTTGAATCTTTTGAATCTTGTAATGTAATCTTATTAAGAAAATGAAGGCAGAAATTAATTATTCATAAATCAATTATTTCATAATTACTTACAATTTAATAAATAAATTAATCGATATTTTTATATACTAATTTTTGTATTTGTTTTAGTTTTTCAAATCAATTTTTTAAAGATATCTTACTTATATATTGATACATTTTGTAGAACAAAATTTTTTTTATTTTTATTTTATCTTTAAAATTTTTTATTTTAATTTTTATTTTAATTATTTATTTTAATTTATATGAACGTACAATATTTGTGTAACTAAAATAGTGGATTCAAATATATAGAATTCAATAAACAAAAATATTATTTTTAATAAATTTATGAGATAGAAACAAATTTAGCTATTTGTTACATATAAAAACCCAAATTTTATAAATATATAATTATAATATTTTTGCAGTAATTCATTAATACATATTTAGTAATAATTATATATATATATAGTATATATGTATATCTAATTTATATTTTCTTAAACTCACTGATTTCATTATGCTATTATATATGTGCGTAGATCTCAGTGACCTCGTATTCGAGAAGACTTGCACAACGGTGGAAGGTCGGCCGTTAGTCGGTTGATCCACGGCCATGGCAAAAGTGCCGGGAGGCGCTTCTTCTCTCGCCAACGAAAGTAGGATTACGCTTGATTTTCACTCTCTGTGTTTTCGATTACGTAAGTACGGACCGAATGAAGGCGCAGCTTACGGTTTAATAAAACAGTTACCTTTGCCTACTTGTTGTAATGTATCATTGTAAGCATCCCACTGCTTTTGATAATACATACACAAGTATTTATTAGGTTCTTAGATTTTGAATCGATTTTCAATGATAGCTACAGTAAACTATATTTATATTTATATTTCATATTGTTTAATTAAATTTATATATTCATATTTATATTCATATTTCATATTTTTTAATTGAGTTTATATATTCATATTTATATTTATATTTCAATTTTTCTATTTCTTAAAAATTAATTATTGTGTCGTATTATTATTATTTATTATAATATGATCCTCGCGTTTCAGTTTTGAATGACTTCTAATTTATATCAATATAATATAAATATAATTAACATTATATATATAAATTCTATATAAAATTATTATATAAAGTATAATATTATATAGAATTAATTTAAATTTAAACCTAGAATATAAAGCCATATATTTATAAAATCATATAACTTAAAGATTTAAAATCTAAAATTTAAAGTCTAAGGGTGCGAATATATTCGAGATTAAATTCTCGAAATATTTTTTGAAACTATGTTAAAAATTATTTTTATTCTTAATGTCTATTGTGAAAATATTGAGAATAATTTTCAATATGTATATAAAAAAGAGAAAGTTTCTTTTTGTAGTTGAATATTAATTTATATCGACAAAATCTCTTATGTAAAGATTTCTTTTTTCTACAAGCTAAATTGATCGCAATCGTTTATTCTATAAAGGAAAATGGAGTCAGTAGGATCACTCTAACGGGCTAACGGATCATATAATGGCGTAGCGTGCATTACGCATTCGATGACGTAATCCTTTGACCAACAATCAGCTACTGCCATTCATGGTATGCGAAAGTTCGAACACCTTACGAATAATTAGAACGGAAGGTTATTGACGTGTCTTCTTTAAATCGAAATGTAATAATTTTGAGAAAATTTAAAATATATTTAATCATATGAAATATGCATAAAATAGAAAGAAAAATGGAATATATTTGTATTGCTATATTTCTAGTTTACATATTGTTGAATAATAAATTTTTGAATAATAAATTTTGATAGTACCAAATTAAAGATAATCACTTTTAAAAATAAATTTTAATTATTAATTTTTTTATTCCAATTAAGATATAGGATATTTTAATACTTAGGATATTTATTTTTTTAATTCCACAATGTTTTTTTAACACAATTTAAATTTATGATATTTGATTTGCTTTTATCACAAATTTTTGCTTGTTATTGGATAAAAAATCTATATTATATTTATAAAATTTTTATTTGAATTACTGTGGAAAATTATAAATAATATAAATAATTATAAATTTATTTTTACTTTTTTTTTTATTTTTTTTCTAATCTTTAACAATCATATAACTAAAATCAATTTTTATTAATTATTAAATTTTCTAAAAAAAGTTTTTTGATAAAACATAATCTTGTACAATTGATACAAATAATCTTCGTTGTGTAAAATTATTAAATATTATTTTTAATAAAAATTTTGAATAATTTTAAGGAATAATTGATATAAAATTCTACGCAGTATAATCATAATTTAATTTTTAAAAAAAATTTGGAAAAATATTAAAAAAAACATAGTAAAGGATATATATATATTTTATATATTATTAATTTCTTTTGCGGTAATAAATCGTACATATTCGTCGAGAGACTCTTCCAAGAATTTCCGGTCAATGTTTTACCGTAGTCTACATTCGAGTAAATATTTGCAGAGAAGCAAGTTTTCTAGACGACAAAGATGTCTACGATAATTTACCGAACTCTCTCGTTCGAAGAATCCACCGCGAGTTCATAAACCATCTAACGGTGTTCGAATTCACCTAAAAAAATTTGGCGATTATCTAACGCCGATTGCGCAACCACAGGTTGTGCAACATAAAAACGTAATCCGTAAAAGTGTTACGCTCGTAGAATGAATACCTCTTAGTCCTGTGGCGTCCCTCCTACCATGCCCCTCCACCGCCATCTATCTTTCTCTCTTTTTCGTGAATCGTTGCCAGAAGGAATCAGAACAAAACAGATTATATGCTTTTAAACTTTACTCTCACCACAACCTTGACCTACTGAACTCTGAATATCTCGAGTCCTAAATCTATTCTGATCTATCGATTGTTTTTTTTAACGACTGAATTTTAAATCGACTCAGTTGATACTACTGAATATCCCTAGATGTCCTTCGAATATCATTATTTATAGTTAAATATTCAATATCAAATGATTTGAATTTGATTTGAATTAATTTTTATCGATATTTTGTTATATATTTTCATAATTTAATTTATTTACAAATTTGATTCTTCTTGGCCAATTATTTGTATAGATTTGTTTTCATTTATGTTAGTTTTGTTAAAATAATTAATATTTTATTATTGTATTGCCAAGTTTAATGCATGTTTCTCGTAAAATGATCTTTCCTCTCGTTTCACGAGGCCGAGAGTTATAAAGTCGGAGAAAATTGTATTACCGATATTATCTAACGATGGAAAGTAGCGCAAGGCCGCTTTCTTCTTACTCAACCGACTATTACAACTGAACAGTGTAATACATTGACTTCTCTTTCTCTTTTCGAACCATCATCTGTCCACGGAAGCGGGAAATTAATGCAATCGTCGAAATATCTTTTAAAAGGTAGTCTCTTTACATATACTCTCTTACACACACACGCGCGCGCGCGCGCGCGTGCATACACAGGGGTGGAAGGGCAAAACTTTGAGGAAAAGTAATTTTTCACTCTCAAGTTGGAAATTATATAAGGAAATTATATCTTCTTTCGATTCTTATGAATTTAATATTATTCTCTTTAATTTAATCTTTAGAATACTGGCACATATGATAATATATATTAATAAATTTCCCAGAAACTGGTACATACATATCTCTGGAATTGGAACATTATATTTGGTATAAATATTACATATAATACATATTGTTATTATATATAAAATCTGTTTTATTTTAAATATAATGAAATATTTTTTAAATTTATGAAAAAAATGTTCTAATAAAAATATTTTAATTTATAAAAAGATATGCAATATTAATAATATTTATGCAAATGAAATTTTATTTGCTTTCTATTTGTAATATTTTATTTGAACTATTCTGTAATTATTTTGATTTGAACCATATGAATATAATAATATTAAAAATAAATTTTAATATATAAATACTATATATTGTATTGTACATATAAATTATATATATATATATATATATATATATTACTAGTGATGTATATATATCTCTATCTGAGAAATGTGCTAAATTATTTATGATATGGCATTAATTTTCAGAATATAACAAATATTATCAATTATTAAAATAATTTCATTTATAAATCTTTTTTAAATTCACAATATATGTGATTGAAAATATAAATTATTCTGTTTTATGATTAAGTACAATTACTTAATTTACTTATATGGATTTCTAACCTTAAATATTAAATATTTTTTGAATAATATTTTTTTTTTGTATTCATTATAAGTAAATAATTCATATATCATAAATATTATAGTAATTCAATTCATCATAGTAAATAAGATATTTAAAATTAAAAAAAATTATCACATGATACTATATATGGGATAATACTATATTGTTATATCAATCTTATATATTATGAAATACCTATGAAAGATTAAATGGTTTGACAGCTTAACATTTTCAAATTTTTTATTTTTGTAATTATTAAAAATATACAAATTATTGGAAAAATTAATATTAGTTTTTATTCAGATTAAAATATAATTATATTCAATTATTTTCATAATATAAGTATTTTTAATCATTTGTGTACAATAATATATATGTTATAGTTCTAATTTAATTAATTTAAAATTAGGATTTTTAAATTAGATAAATTTCATTATTCATATATATATATGAAAAGTAATGTATGAAAACATTCTTATTTCTATGACCAATTGTATGTTATTTTTCTTTTAATTTTAAATATTAAATATTTACAATTCTTTTTAACAGATTTAATAATCCATTAATATTAGGGGTTGCTTGACGACATTTCTCGTATCCGGTCAAACGAAAAAAATATGTGACCAGCAAGAAAATACGTAGAGGTGCGTAATGTCTTGTTATTACACGTGTCCCTCCTTGGTAACGGGACAGGCAACCAAACCGACCGACCTACTTATGCACGGACGTTCACATACATACATGTCCACGCACGTTCACGCACGTCCACGCGCAGTCTCGTCCAAAGAAATGCCTTAGGACTTGCCATGCACTCCGCTTGCCATACTGAGATAAAACAAATTTCAAAGACTCGAGGTCAATCTCGACACCTCTGTGATTTAAGTGGCGTAAAATTGAGCATGACGAAATTCATTGCATGATGGTTTAAATATAAACATTCATCTCTATTGTGCATGTATATATACAATATAGATAGAGAAGATAAAAAGAAAAAATCAAAATTGTATAGCCATTTTCTAATAGTAGTTAAAATATACTTCAAAGGAACTTTTAATAGTATTAATTTTTGAAAAAGCAGATATACTCTTAAGTTAATTTTTTGTTTTTAGCATGATTTAACATTTTGACTTTTATTTCTTGTAATGTATTTAATGTGCTTGATTAAATAAAATTAATTAAAGTTATTAATTTTCAGATAAATTATAACAATAATAGTTCATCAAAAAAAGATGAAAAAACTATTTTTATAAATAGTTAATAAAAATTTTAAGCAAATAAAATATATAAATCAAATTATGAATGACATTTTGAAAATATTGCATAGTTTGGCATATAGTTTAAATAACATAATCTTTATTTATTAATACTTATTAATACTTATTACTCTCTTAAGTATTTGAATTTGTTTTAATTACATACAAAATCTGCAATTTATTTATTATTAATTGTTATTTTCAAATTTTATGACATATGAATGAGACTCGCATTATATGTAAATAAAAAAACACAAATAAAAAAGTTGAACGAGTGTTTTCACGATCTTTTATGAAGATATATTTGAACGTGTTGACGTTAACTTTAGATTTTCCTTATTCATGGACATGCATGAATGCCATGAGTCTGAGGCTAACGAGGAAGAGACGCGGCTGGAATAAGCACGAGGAGCGGTCCTTTGTGCGTGCAAAATTGAACAACAAGACGAGAAACGTTAGTCTTACTGCAAAATGAATGTTTCATTTATCTACCGGTATTTATTCACGTAATTTAAACCAAACATTGAATTTGATACTCGATGGATGTCTCAATGACTTGAAATAGGATTTATTTATTTATTTTTATTATTTTTTATTTTTATATAGGGGGATATGTTAATCTTTTAAACGATTGTATTATAAAAAAGGATTAATTATTAACAATATATAGTATTAATTTAAACTCTTTTTTTTTATATTCTGTATATAAAGTGTTAATATATTCATGAACTTTTGGAGAGATCTTTGAATTAATTTTCAAATCATTAAATCTTAATGGACTTAATCATTCACTTTAATCATTTTGGCAATATTTAAAAGTTTCACGAGATAATCTTTCTTTTTTTATAAATTTTATTTTAATTTTATCGAAGTTTTTAGTGTATTAAAAAAGTTCTATTTACTTCTGTTCCTTATTATTAAGCCATGATATATGCCTTTCTTGGTAACCACTAACTTGACTTGATTTATGACATATGAAAAATTGAACAAGCTGCAATATCCTTGTTGGAAAATAGTACAAAAGTACAGGATATATGAAAATTCAATTAAAAATCAAATCAGAAATCAATAGAAACCAGATTATTATTGATAATGTGAATAAATTCAGAATATACTAGAAATTTTTGAAAATCTTCGACATCTTTTTCAAAACATCGATGTGAAGCATAAATCATTGCAAAAGAAGTTATTTGCAACAATTTCTTTAAATAAGTTTTAAAAATTCCATCATAAAAAATGTTTATATTTCAAAAAGAAAGATATTATAATGATATTTTTATTTGTATGATATTTTTTCATCTTTAGAAACATTAGAATACTCACAGTTTGGCCATCTATTTCATCTTCATATTCTAAGAAAACTTTATATTACATTCTTACATACTTGATAATTTGTCAATATTTTATTTATAGAATTTAAATTTCTTCACAAAAGAATCCAATGTTTCCTTAAGAGCATATTATTGAGTGGTTGATTCCTGCATACTAAAATTTCACTGGTATTATGATAAAATTTCACCTGGAATTGCAATTTTAAAAGAAAGGAGAAGGTTGTATCTCCCCCCTCCCCCTTTTTTTTTTAAATAACTTTATAGCAAGGTCAGTGCACTGGCCTAGTCGTTGAAATTTACGGTCGTAGACTCGGTTGAGATAGTTGGGAGAATATCCAGAATGGCCGACAGGTACGCAAAGGAATTTCGCAATTTGTAGAACCGGCAACATAGCGACTAACAAGAGCGGAGTTACTCTACGCTCGCTCGTTGGATACCAATTCAATTCTTTATACGGGATCCAAGGAGTAAAACAAAACGTGGCACGATCGATACCCAAAGAATTTATATTGTGAGCCAACACCGATCTAAGAAGACAAATTCCCTTACATTTTTCTCAATGTATCTTTTTTCTCTTATCTCTCATTTATTTTTGTGTTTTTGTGTTTTTATACTAGAGAAAATTAAATAAATATCTATAATATATAATATAACCTATAATTAAATATATCTATGATAACTAAACTAAATAATATGATCTTTTTAAGGAAATATTAATTTAAAGAATTAATAATTATAATTAATAAATAATTTAATAATAATTCTTTATTTTTTCTTTAGGTTATTTTAATTCAATTATGCCTTTGTCTACTATTAGCAATGGAGTATTAACATCAATCAGGAAAGGTTACCTCAGAAACTTTTCTCCTAGGATATCTTATAATACTTATCACTATCAAATGTGAAATTCATAGATTACTTCTATAATTATTAAAAATGTATAAGTATTTTTGATAAAATTAATATTTATATAATTACACATATTTAATTTCCAAATTTTATAAAATTTAATAGTACTTTACTTTACAATTGACTTTAATCATTTATGTGTAATAAATTTACATATTATTATATATATTACATATTAGATTTAGATTTAAATTTAGATTTAGTTTTACTGTTGATTCAGGTTTTTTTTAGAAATTGAAAAATTCTTAGCTTGAACTTCATTTGCTTGACCTCATTTTAACCAAACGATTCCAGTTTTATTATTTTACTAGATGTAACGCACATGGCACCGTTCTTTGAAATCTAAGTTCGTTGACTTGGAAATTAAATTTTTGGTAGCAAGTTTTCGTTTCGTAATTCCACTATGTGATATCATCACGTTCGTACTGGTCTTCACATACTACATAAACGCATACATTGTTTTAAGCTGTCTTACATATATGTTTTTAATATTATATTATATCTTTAAATTAAAAATAATAAATATAATGATAGTAATATAAAAAATTTGTAACGATTTTATTTTTTATTCGATCTGTATATATATATATATATGATATTATAAAATTTTTAAAATATATTATATAAGGAAAAAAGAATTTTTTTTTATTTGAAAAGATATTTTTTTAACAAGATAATTTATTTATTATAGAACTTATATATTAATTGATTAGATTTAAATTTTGTTGTTGAAATCTGTGTTTTTTTTATCTGATTTATATTTATATATTTCTTATCTTTCACTCAAATTGAATTTACTTGCCTTTTTTGATTTATTACAAAAATGGAATACTGTATATAAAATCCACACATTAAATCATTTAATTCATTCATCATTAGATATCTATTATAGCATATCATTTTTATATCGATACAATATTTAATTATAACAATTTTTATTATTAATTATAATTTAATTTTCATTTTATTTAATGTATCAAATTTAAATATATAAAATGATAGTACTTGAATATCATAAATAGAAGATACTACTGTCTAGATACTTATGAACGGTATACATCGACCGGGCTCTCTATATATTTAACGCGCTTATCCCTCCTATCCACGCGTTCAAATCTCCCACGATTCATTCGTATAATCGTACCCTTCTCTTTTACGCCATAAAACTCAAATCATTTTTATTTTCTTCGAATATCGATATCTCTTTGCTTGGGGAGAATAGTAGAAACATATGGATTGGAATGATACAAAAGATAAAAGTAGCAATCGGAAAATGTATATAATGTTTCGTAATTTCGATGTTACTTACGTCGAAGTATCGGGATTTTATGATACCCGATGAAACTATAGACCACCCAAGAAAGTGATTTTCACGAATCCAATATGCGGTAGCTTAAGAGCTGAATCGTGTAATTCTACAGTGCACTCATTCGTTGGATACTGTTTAATTGCCGACACGCTTTGAAACGCTGTAATTATTTTTTTTTTTTAGTAGATATATAATTAATTTTTGCTTCCTTTTTTTGCGATTCTTGAAAAATATATACAGCATGCAATATATTAGAGATTTAATTCATGTTATTTTAAATTATAAATTTTGAAAATTATTTCGAAAAGATTAATTTAATTTTTAAATATTAAAATTTATTAATATTATATTTAATGATATAGGATAAAATTTTTTATTTATCATATTTATTCGATTTCATTATTGTAAAATATCACAAAAAAATTATTTGAATAATTTCATGAGAAAATTAATGTTAAATTAGACATATATAATAAATTAGATTAACAAAATTTTCTACTATTAATTTTAACATTTCTATTATTCCAAAGTCTAATAATAAATCCTAAAAAAATTCCCTACTTTATCAAGCAATTTTTCATTTTTAAAAAAAAAATTATTCTTAAATATAAGGCCTATTTACAACATATTATCCGTGGTTCAATCTTAACAAACGTTATCGACGCGATCTGGAAACACGTGAAACGAAAGAGACATTCCATGATGCGCGGCACGGCATAGCGTACCCGTCTATGGAACTCCGCGGGACCTTCACCGTGAAGATCTTGAACCATGGTTGACGCACCGACCGGTACCA